GTGTTCCCGGTTCGCCTCCCACCGCTCTGGCTCTGCCTCTGCTCCCGTATGGCTTCCTGCTTCCCCTACATGGTCCCTGGGCACTTGGCTTCCTCAGTCTGTACAGTCTGGGGCCTCACCACACCTCTGGCTTCATGGGGGCCATTGACATGCTGTTCCGAGTCTGATCCCTTGCTCGGATCCACATCCTGGGCTCTGGGTGAACACGCTTGCTTCTCCCCCACATCCGGCCTCAGGCGCCTCAAGCTCAAACTGTCCCACCTTTCTCCTGATCCTACCCCCGGCCTTGTCCTCCTGTTCAAATAGCAGCCAGAGAGTCTCCCTAAATTGCTCATGATCCCCTGAGTTCACCAGGATGGCCGCACCGGTCTCTATGCTCCCTCCCCACCATTCTGGCCCAATAGGCTAAAAATCCTCACTGGACAGCCTGTTCATGGAGCTGAGTGTGGTGGCACACCTGTAATCCCAGCACTCAGGATGAGACAGGAGGATCACAAATTTGAGTCCAGTTTGGGCAACTTAGTGACTTAGTGAGACCCTGTCTCAAAATAAAAACTAAAGAGCTGCGGATGTATTCAGTGAGAAGAAGGCCCTGGGTTTAATTCCCAGTACTGGGGGTGGGGTGGGAAGCCTTGTATATGGATATTCAGAGCAGCGTTATTCATGAAAATCAGAGTGCAACAATCCAAATGCTCTCAACAATGTGTGCATAAACAAAAGGTAGCAGAGCCTCGCAATGGAATATTATCCTACCTGAAAAAGGTACTTATTTGAGCTGTCACAGAATTGAACTGTAAAAAACGTTTACGGTCGGCTAAAGAAGCCAGACACACAGGCCTCAGAGTGTATGATTCCGTTTACAGAAAATGTCCAGAATAGGCAAAGTCTTAGAGCCAGAGCAGACTGGGTGCCTGGCAGGGGCCAGGGGGGCGCTGTGGGAAGTGAGCGCTAATGGGTACAGGGATACAGGGTTTCTCCGGGCTGGTGACGATGCTCTGAAGTAGACTGTGGTGATGACTGTGTATAACTGTTTACACAAGTGACCTGTATGATGCGTTAGTTGTATCCTAATAAAGTTTTGGTTTTTTTTGGATACAAGGTCTCTTTGTGGTTCAGGTTGACCTTGAATATCCAGCAATCCTCCTGTCTCAGCCTCTCAAGTGCTGGGATTAGAGGCACGTGGCACTACGCCCAGCTCAATAAAGCTGTTCTTAAAAAAGGAACAGAGCTGGGTGTGGTGGCACATGGCTGTGATCCAGCACTGGGAGGCTGAGGCAGAAGGATCGCTGTGAGTTCAAGGCCAGCCTGGGCTACATAGTGAGTTCAGGGCCAGCCTGAACTACAAAGGGAGACGCTGCCTCAAAAAAAACAAAAAAAGGGCTGGGGATTTAGCTCAGTCGTTCTACTGCCTGCCTTGAAAACGCAAGGTCCCGAGTTCGATCCCTGGTACAAAAATAAGTAAATAAATAAAAATTAAAGATAAAAATAAATAAAAAAATAAACAAACAAATGAACATATGCACCATGTAGCGTGCTTACTCTGGCTCCTCCCTGCGGCCTCCCTGCCTGCTCTGGCCTCCATCTCGGGTGCCAAGGGTGCCTTGGGCCGCCTCAGGTGTCTTCCTCCCTGCATTCAGAGCTTTCTCAGGGCCGGGTGCTGTCTCACCTCCTCCCCAGCACTTGCTCCAGGCCCGCAGAGCCTGTGTCCTCTCAGCTGCTGCCACCTACCCAGCTGGTCTCTCAGCCTCCGGCAGGTGTCATGGTTCTGAAGCCTTCCCACAGGTCCTCTGGCTGGCAACATGGTATCATGGGCACTGCAGAGCCGGTGACACTGCGTGCGTGCGTGTGTGTGTGTGTGTGTGCGTGTGTGATACTGGTTATTGAACCCAGGACTTCTGTTACATCCCTGGTTCTTTTTTAATTTTTTGAGACAAGGTCTCACTAAGTTGCTAAATTACCCAGGCTGGGCTGGAATTTACAATCCTCCTGCCTCAGCTTCCCAGAGTGCTGAGATTACAGTGCCCAGCAAGTCATTTCCTTCTCTAACCCCGCAACCCCCACTGTGTGGTACTAAGGATTGAACCCAGAGAGCACTAGGCTACGCCCCCAGCCTTTTTTATGTTGAGCCAGGATCTTGCTAAATTCCTCAGGCTGGCCTTGAACTTGTGATCCTCCTGCTTCAGTCTCTGGAGTAGTTGGGAGTGCAGGTGTGTGCCACTGCACCTGGCTAAAATCTAACATTTATAACCAGCTTCTTAAGTTTCCCACAACCCATTCCTCCCCAGTGTGGGCCCTGGACATTCAGGGCAGAGTAGTTGCTGTCACAAAGAAACCCCAAAAGTCAGTGGCAGAGCACCTCAGACCTATCAGGCCACTTGCGGCAAGTCCTGCTGACGCTGGCCTTGTCTGCTGGCTCCCCAGTGTGCAGCCAAAGCAGAAGAGGTGAAGTGGAGAGCCGTGTGGCTAAGCACACACCCCCTTGTGTGCCAGCACCTTGGCACAAGGCCACTCCGAACCAAGAGGCTGGCCACAGTGTGGCTGACCGGCCAGGCTAGGTGATGGGGCACTCTGATCCCTACTTCCTGAGCCAATGTGACCATGGAGTTTCCCTGGCTTTCCAGGTTCTAAAACGCTTGTCCACAGGCTGATGGAAGCCTATGGTGTCAACAAGTAGGGTGTGCATCATGTGGCTACATCCAAGGCCTTGGCCAGGTCTGTCCTCATGCGCTCAGGTGCCTTCTGGGGTGTCTCCAGGAACTGTGCCCATCGGTGCCTCTGCACTTCTGACATTACCCTTCCTGATCCGTATATTTTCAGGGCGTGTGTGCTGGGGATTGAACATGCTAAGCACACGCTCTACCACTGAGCCGCAGCCCTGGGCCTATTGTCCTATGAGTAACTGTCCAGGGCTAGGAGTGTAGCTCAGCAGAAGAGTGCTTGTGTAGCATGTGCAAGGCTCTGGATTCAGCACTGGTTTCACTTGGCATTTAGGTCAAGCTAACATGACTTCCCATCTGCTCCCAAGTACCCCTCTTCCTGTCCCCAGGCCTGTGTGCTGTCCACACTTCCTCTCTGAAAGTCACTTGGCTGAGGCTTGCATAGCAATACAAGTATAGAATGAATGCTTCTCTATCCAGTCCAGCAGAAGCCTGGAGTGGGGTGATTCCAGTTTCAGAAGACTCAAGAGTAGTGGTGCCCGCTGTGGAGGAGTGGAAGGGAGTGGGTCTGTGAAGGCCGTGCAGGGCTCTCCCCAGCTCGGTCATGCACCTCAGGAAGGGAACTGCAACCAAGAGCCAAACACTCCTGTAAGAAGGGAAATGGGAAGGGGCCACGGCTGGCCCACTGGCTCCTTAGCATAGCCCAGGATGTTAAGGGGCACTGACACAGGGGCCTGGTCCAATAGCCTGCAGCACAGGAGAACACTTGGGGCCCTGTGGTTCTGACTTTTTTTTTGTACCAGGGATTGAACTTGGGACCTTGCGCTTATGAGGCAAGTGGGGGAACCACAGAACTAAATCCCTGGGCCTGGGACTTACTTCCTTATGGTACTGTACTAGGGATTGGTTCCAGGGGCTCACACTCAGCTATATTCCCCACTGGTCTGTTACCCAGGCTGGCCTTGAATTTATGATCCTTCTGCTTCAGCTTCCCACAAGAGCTGTGACTTCAGGTGTGTACCACTGTCCCCAGGCAAGGACTGTTTTTAAATCCTTAATCCAGGTCTAGTAAGACTAATAAGGTACACTTGGAGACAAAAGACCAGTGTTACTCAAAATAAAGGGTTGGGAACGAAGCTCAGTGCAAAGGCCCTCAATCTCCAATACTGCAACAAAATGAACTTCTTCAAGAACCCAAGTAGAGCTGGGCATGCTGGTGCACACCTATAATCCCAGCACTCAGGAGGCTGAGGCAGGAGGATCACGGCAAGTTCAAGGCCAGCCTGAGCTACATAGTGAATTCAACGCCAGCCTGGACTACATGGTGAGACCCTGACTCAAAAAAAGAAAAGGAATCCAAGTGGGTTTTTTGTTGTCTCCTCAAAATCTCACCAGGTCTACTGCAGCCAGTGCTGTCCGTGGTTACCTGGGTCACCCCAAATGAGCCTTAGCTACTTAGCATGTTGAAACTGCTTTATTCTGTCACAGACCCCTTCCATCCCTTCAGCACAGAGAGGGAGGGGGAGAACCAAGAACCAGATAAGGTCAACACTGTCCTCCCAAAGCTCCTGCTCTAGACCTGTTTCCAAGGGTGGTCTGCAAAGGAGAAACACCACTACCAGGTTTGAAGTAACTGGGAAACTCTTCAATTGAAGATAATATAAGGCATTGTATTATATTTTGCCAAATTAAAACCTTATTTATGTTCTCACCCTTTTGTTTTTTTGGTACCAGGGATCAAACTTGGGTCCTTCTGCTTGTGAGGCAGGCGGCGGAACCACTGAGCTAAATCCCCGGCCCTCTCACCCTATCTACTTCATCAAACATCAGTTTTGCCTTTCCTAATCCTTGTTAGACTGATTTAAACAGAAAAATTTAAAAAGCCAACTCCGTAGACATCTTCAGAGCTTAATTTTATAATAAAAACTGTTTGAATAATTAGATCTTAAAAAAAAAGCGGGTGGCCTACAAGCTTCTCATGGCCAGGAATGGTGGTGCCTACCCGTACTCCCTGCACTTGGGAGCCTGAGGCAGGATGGCTCAAGCCCAGGAATTCAAAGGCAGTCTGGGCAACACAGTGGTTGTGTTTTCAACAGGGAGGTCCTGAGATCTGAGGGTGGAGTTTGCCATCCTGTCCAGTGCTAAATTCCCCAGGATTCTGAAGATCAACCAAGTTCTGCGGGGAGCCTCACTCCTCAGGAGGCCCAGGAGACCCACTTGCTCCCCAAGGGTGACGTAAGTTAGGCAAGTCGGAAATAAGGACCCAAGAGTTCGGACTCCCTGACCTAACTTCTTTCAGATTAAATTTATCTTAAGGAAAGGGGGGAAGAAAAATACAGAGTGAAGAATTCACTGAACATTTATTATTCACAAGAATTCATTGTAGGTTTATTATTCACAGTTAATCACTACCTACCAAATGCTATCCGCAGTTAAAGGATTAAGTACATAGGTCTTATTTAAACACTGATTTTCTTTTTAAATATATACACACACAAAACTTAGTTCAGCAAGGCTTCATGATATACACCAATTCCAAAATAACACAATCAAACGGTCCAGGTGTAAAATGCCAGATTTCTTTATCATCAGCGAGGCGAGGAGAGGAGCAGCAGGACGAGAGGAAGCCGGGTGAGGCAGGAAGCCCCTGAGCCTTGCGGTGCTCCAGGCTGAATCCATCTCCATGCTCAGAGTCCAGGGAGATGCCGCTGACCTGTCAGAGCCCAAAGGCCCAAGACTGCCACCAACTTCCAGGGAGAGAAATGGAAGAGGGGCTGGGGGGAGAAATGGCTTATTAGGCACATCAGGAAGGACCAGAGGTTGACAGAAGACAGAAAGAGAGCTGTGCAGCAGCTTTGGCCTTCCTGTCTTTGCCAGTGCCTCCCCTAACTCGTCCCACTGCGAGAGGCGGATGGGGGGATCGGCCCACGTGAATGGGTGGACCACGGGCTGCTTTCTGGCTGCTGCCCCAGTGCTCACCCAGCAGGTCATGGGACTCATACGTAAAAGCCAGGGTCTCATTTTAAGAGCAAGAAAAATAAAAACCAAGTACTTTCATTCCCACCCCAGTGTGGGAACATGGACTGGGACAGCTAAGGAAGGCAGTTAGAAGCTATTTCCTCCTCTGGCTTCTGTGTTTGCAGGTTGCTGGCTCCCAGGGTTTGTGCCTGGGGGGTCTCTGAGGAGAGGAGGAGCAGACCACACCTGAGACCGGGAGGTCAAGGACTCTGATGCCATTGCAGACAGATTCCATCACCTCTGGGGACGGGGCTCACAAATATTAAAGCTGCACCCGCAAAGACTTCTGGCTTAGGACAGGGAGACTGCCCACACCCTCCACTTCTGCTTGTCTCCTTTCTCTACCCTGTTTTCCCTTTCCATGAGGGAAAATATTTACACAGAGTAGGAGACAAATTGGATGAAAAGCTCTGGACTATCTAACTTATTTTAAAACAAAACAAAGAACACTGCTCATAAGCAACCCTTGAAATAAGGAAAAAGGCACTATGAAAAAGCAACATCTGGAGGGGCCAAAGTGGGCAGAGGCGCAGATTTGCAGTCTGACTTTCTTCGGAAGCAGCACACCGTTCTCTTCACTCTATGCCCAGCGGTCTGAGGGCTCTCCTCCAGCGGAGGTGCAGCACAGGCCCCAGGCCACCCGGCCACTCCTTTTGTGTGTATATATGAAAATCACAGAGACGGCTATTCTTTCAGTCATTTCCACTAAAACAGACATTTTGCATAGAGAAAATACCAGCCCACTTGGTTTCTTTTCTTTTATTATTGGCATCAGCTGGGACTATACGTGGCCTTAAATGTCATGCACTGAAGGACAGGAGAAAAAGATGAGGCAAAAGGACACAGGAGGGAAACAGGACCAGTGTGGAGAATCTGTAATAAAAACTTAAGTAAATTTTGGAATTTTGATATCCAATCCCCCTCCCACTCCCCAAAGTTCCAACCAAAGTGAGAGAGGGTCACCAGTGTGACCAGCCAGATGTTCTGAGCTCCCTACAGGCTGCCGCTCTTAAGAGGCAGCTTGTGGGTGTAATTCTTTTTGTTTTTAATTTTTCACTTTCTTTAAATACTCTCTCTGCTTCTTAGACGTTCCGGTTCACAGGGGTGACATAGTTGCGGGGAAACATGCCGGTCTGCCCGTGGCAAGCCCCCTTCCACCAGTTGGGGTCTGAGTTATCCATGACGTGGATGAAGTCTCCCCGGCGGAAGCCCAGCTCTCCGTCCTCCTGGGGGTCAAAGTCAAAGAGGGCCTGGACATATGTCGGCTGCTGCAAGAGAGGAGCAGGGAAAACACACATGGCGCTCCCGATGTGGATCCTGTCAGCACCCTGTAAACCAGCACTGCTTACAAGGGGGAACAGATGTGTGTCAATTCTCAAGCTGTCTGAAATACCCTCTCTATTCCTACATGTCCTAAGCTCACCCTGCGTGATTTTTTTTTTTTCTGGTACCGGGGATTGAACTTGGGTCCTTGCGCTTGCAAGGCAGGCGGCGGAACCACTGAGCTAAATCCCTGGCCCTACCCTGTGTGATTTTAATGTAACTTTCCACCGATGCTCAGAACACTAGTGTACATATCTCTGGGGGTAGCCATGTGCCACATTATCAAGTAAGGAGCAGCATGTCTGCCTGCAGGACGGAACTGGGGTTTTGTTCACAGATTTGAAAATATTCATGCTCCTATCATTTACAACACCCTTAAGGTTTTATGGGGTCCAAAGCCCTAGAGCTGGAGTTAAGTAAGATGGCACTAGCCATAACTCATGGCTGGGATATCGAGGGTGGGAATGAGTGAATATGACCCCGCTCCCTCCCAACTGTGAATTCCCCCACAATGTTCCTGAGAGAGAAAGCTCTATCTCCTAGGCAGACAGGTGGTTAGGTAGCAGCATGGCCTTGGAGGGCACCTCTGGAAAAGGCACAAACATTGCAGACCACAGAGCTTTCCACGAACGAAGGGTAACAGAATAATTCATGAAGCGGGCCCAGAAGTGACCCGGTGAGGGGACCAGCCTGCTTAAGGAGCTAGTCTTCCTTTCTAGAAATGATCCTAAATCGAGGTTCAGGCTCACCTGTGGCACTTGTTCTATGTCCCGCAGGAATATCTGCTGGTTTCTGGACACGGATGTCGATCTGTGGTAATCTACCAGCTCATTCAAAGAATTGAACTTCACCACCCAGAGGAAATACTTTCCGGCTCCATCACGGAGCACCTTGAAGTGCTGCACATCATTTCCAAACCTGGTGAGGTGAGGCGGGGAAACACATGTAAACAGTCACAGGTCTGTGCGGGGAGGCAGGGGCTGTCCGCCTTGCACGGGGTGTGGAGAGAGCCACTCTTCTCACCAATGCCACACAGGCTGAGGGTGCAGGAAATGCACAGCAAGCTGCTCCCAACTGAAGAGAGCTGGGAAAATCATGGGCATCCCTGGTGCCCTTCATGACTGACAGTTACTTCTGGACCTTGTGCCTTCAAGGCAGGTGGCGGAACCACTGAGCTAAATACCCCCACCCCCCACCTTTTGGAGACGTCTCACTATGTAGTTCAGATTGGCCTTGACTCACTAGGATCCTCGAACTCAGAAGCAATCCTCCTGCCTCAGCCTCCCAAGTGCTGGGATTATAGGTGTGTACCACCACACCTGGCCTGACAGTTACTAGTAACATGAAGAATCCTTATAGGAGGAAAATCCCACCTACCAGCCTCATTCTGAAAATGTCTTTAAGATACGAGTGTTCTAACTTACTGCACACCCGTTCCCTGCTCTCTACCAAGTAGCAGAACCTTACTTACAAGGGCTGTGGCATTACTAATGTCTTCTGAAGCAAAATTATTAGAATATGATGCCACACTCAAAAACTAGAAAAGATGGGACAGGAGGTAAGGTAGGGAGGGACTGGAAATACTTCAAACAATTCTTTTGTAAGTGGGAATAGTTCCAAGTTGTGTTTTCCATTCAGGAATTTTAGTTCAGCTTTCCCTTTTCATAGGTACAAGGTCTCAGGACCAAAGGACATGCTGGGTCAATAAAAGGCTCTGGTACCAAAGAAAAAAATTCCTTATCCGGTCGGGGATGTACTCAGTGGTGCCGTGCCTGCCTGGCAAGCACAAGGTCCTGAGTTCAATCTCTAGTACCTCAAAAACAAACAAACAAACAAACAAACAAACCAACAAACCCCAACAAAAAAACCCACCCTGTATCACTGGATAACATACTCCCTTTAACACTGGACAGCAAAAATAGCAAGAGGGACTGGTAGTGGCCCAGGGGATCTGTCACAGTGATGTCTGGTCAGAACAAAAGCTCAGCAGAGGCTTTCCCACCCTGTTCACTGCTGAGCCCTCAAAAGGCACGCTGAACATTGTCCAATGAATGCAGTTTCTCTCCTTCAGACTTAAAATTAAAAGACTGGAGAAACCAAACGCTTCCTAAAAGCAATCCAGCAGGTGGCAGTACTGAGGTTCAAGCCAATGAGTACAAGACACGTTTCCTCTTTTCTAGGGAGGGTTGCCCCAAGAACCAAGAGGATGCCTGAAAGCACAAATATCAAACCCTACAAATATGTACCATGTTCTTCCCTATACAAATAAACGTACATGGCTATGATAAATTTCAACTTTCAGTAAGATAATAGCAATAAAATCAATTATAACAATACACCATAAAAAGAGTTATTTAAAACTTACGAGTTGTTTATTTCTGGAATTTCCCATTTAATATTTTTGGACTGTACCTGACCTCAGGTCACTAAAACTGAAGAAAGTGGAACTGCAGATGGGGCAGGGAGGAGACTGTACTGCTTTCTCATGCAAGAAAAAAGCAGGGATGGGGAGAAAGCCCCACAAGGAAGGGCACACTCAGTGGGGAATTCTGGTCACAGAAATCACTTGCACTGGGCTGATACAGTTGGACTCAAGAGCGCATGAGCCTTGAAAGTGAGCTTTGCGTAACCAGTGTTTTAAATCAGACTCTAAACATCCTGAAACTACAGAAACGTATCTCAGAGTCTTGATGTTTCTTGAACTTCTTTTGTGAAGAAGATGCTTGTGTTGTTAAAAGATAGCGATGGCATCTGTTTCAGATTTTATTTCTGAAATAGTAATTGCATCAACTCCTTAAAATAAAGGAATGGTCTGGTCTTCTCAGCATCTACAGCAGGTCCCTGTGCAGGACAGACTGGCAGGCTTGTGGCTCAGCACTGACACCCCAGTGCTGCTGGCCATTGCCTACAGATGAACTGCTTGCTCTTGTTAGCTATTCAGTTTCCATTCAGGTCAATATAACACATTAGCTTTTTACAAGCTAATGAAAAAAATTAAAACGGTATTTACAGCAGGCCTTGGTAGTGCATGCCTGTAATCCCAGCTACTTGAGGCTGGGGCAGGAGGATCTCAAATTCCAGGCCAGCCTGCACAAGTTAGCGAGACCTTGTCTCAAATAAAATAAAAAAGGGCTGAGACATAGCTGGAACTCAGTGGTAGAACCTAGCAGGTGTGAGGCTCTGGATTTGATCCCCAGTACCACCCAACCTCAAAGAAGGCAAAAACAAGATAACTCAAGATAACTCTACAGACCCACCCTAAAATGTCCTCTATTAGATCCTTAATTGCATATTCTCAACAAAAGGCCTTGTTACAAGAAGAAAACTGATGATTATATCCAGTCTGACTTTTGCATATGTTAGGAATAAAAATCAACTATATTGCAAATATGTTTACTTGTCAGGTAGCACAAAGATCATCTGACAACTCTCAAATCTTTATTCAGAAAAACGGGGCCGGGGATTTAGCTCAGTGGCACTGCACCTGCCTTGCAAGTGCAAGGTCCTGACTTTGAGCCCTGGTACCATTAAAAAAAAAAAAGGAGCGAAAAAGAAAAAGTATGCCTGTAATCTCAGAATTTGGGATGACTGAGGCAGGACTGCCATGAGTTGGAGGCCAACCTGGGCTACAGTGAGTTCAATACCAGCCTGAACTGCACAGTGAGACCTCATCTTAAACAAACAAAAACAAAACAAAAAGAACACAATTGTTGGATGATGCACACCTATAATCTCAGCACTCTGGAAGGCCGAAGCAAGAAGATAGCAAGTTCAAGCCAAATAGCTTATCGAAACCTCATCTCAAAAGAAAGAATAAAAAAGGAGGCTGGAGATATAGCTCAGTGGGAAGGCCACAGGTCCAACCTTCAGTACCACAAAAACAAAACAAAAATACCCCCCCAAGTATAAATTTTAATCTACAATTCAAAGAATCCCAGACACTAAGCATACAATGGTCCTAAAAGCAAATAACATATCCAACAACCCCCCCCCTTTTAATTTTTTGAGACAGCCCCTAAGTAGCTCAGGCTGACCTTGAACTCACAATGACTCTCGAGCTTCAGCCTCCTGAGTGCTGGGATTGCTGGAATCCGTCATGGTGCCCAGAACTCCAATATATTTTTCACATTTCGGTGTTTTTTTTGGTTTGTTTGTTTTTTGATACGGGGGATCGAACTTGGGTCCTTGTGCTTGCGAGGTAGGCGGCGGAACCATTGGGCTAAATCCCCGGCCCTCGAATATATTTTGGAAGTGGAAAAGTCTTATACTTTATATTATTTGTAACTGGTAAACTGGTTTATAGTGCTCATTTAATAATCTTTTTTTTTTTTTTTTGGTACCGGGGATTGAACTTGAGTCCTTGAGCTCCCACAGCAGGCGGCGAAGCCACTGAGCTAAATCCCCGGCCCTATAGTGCTCATTTAAAAAATAATTTTAATGTAATATAACTTAATCACTACTTTGTATATAAATGAAGTGATCTGCAAGATTCCTGGAGGAGGGTTTCCTATGATAATATATTTACTAGAAAAGGACTAAAAGTAACAAAGAAAATGACAATTATTGTTGCTGTATTTTTTTTTTGGGAGACAGGGTCTCCATGTGTAGTTCAGGCTGGCCTTGAACTCATGGTGATTCTCCTGCCTCTGCCTCCTGAGTGCTGGAATTAACAGGTGTGTGCCACCACACCTGGCTGAAAACGACAATTTAAAATCTTCATTTAACAGATGAGGTACGTTTTGCTCAGACTCCTTAAAGGTCTAATTTATAGTTGCCATTATTTCCAAGATGGTAAGATTTCTTGTCTTCCCCATTGCCTGCTTACTAGCTACCTTCCACATTTAATTATTTGGTTTTTCTGTTTTTTTGAGACAGGATGTTGATAAGCAGTCCAGGATGGCCTTGAACTCACTACGTAACCCAGGCTGGCCTCAAATTCAAAGTGATCCTCCTACCTTCCCACTGCTGGCATTACAGGAGTGCACGACCAGATATGAGCTACATTACATTTTTTTTGTGGTATCAGATATTGAACCCAGTGCTTTAACCCTGAGCTTCATTATATCCCCTGCCTTTCTCCCTTCCCCGGTGGCCTTTTTCAAAATTTTGAGACTGGGTCTCACTAAGTTACTAAACTGCCCAGGTTGGGCTCAAATGTGATCCTCCTGCCTTACAGTTCCTTCCACAGTTAAATTTACCACCAGCAAAGTGAAAACCCCCAGGCCCTTGAGGTAGTAACCTTTTCAACTTAATGTGAAGACCTAGGATGGGGGTGGTGGAGTTAAGTGCCTGTCAGCTGAAGGGAGGAAAGGCAGCTGACAGGGAGAGTGCAGCAGGAACCCCACTGTGGGCAGAAACTAGGACTGGCGGGGATTAGGGAAAACTGGCTGTGTGTGCCGTCTCAGGGCTACCGCTCAGCTCCTAGACTTGTTCCACTGAAGAATCTAAACCCTGTGTGACCAGAACTAATTTTTACTAGGAGCAAGAAGTTAGGATTATTGGGTGGGTATGTGTGTGGGGATTGATCACAGGGGTGCTCTGCCACTGAGCTGTATTTCCAGCCCTTTTTATTTTGAGACAGAGTCTCACTAAATTTCCTAGGCTGTGCCTGAACCTTTGATCCTCCAGCCACAAACTCCCGGAGTGCTGGGATTATAGGCATGTACCATCAGGTCCAGCTCAGAAATTAGGATTTTAATGTGAAACTAAATACAGATTAGACTAAGCCTCTATTAGAGCTTGTGCACAGCCAGAACCCTGACCAATGGCCTCCCAGTTCAGCCAGCAGGAGACAGGCTTCCAGGCAAGCAGAGCAGGAAATACTTACTTGACGGAGAGGGAGAAATCCCCAGGAGCGCTCTCACTTTCCCGGATTAGAAAGGCCCCATCATGCCGCTGTTTGCTAAGCATTTCTTCTGCCTTGGCTCTGGGGATTTTGCCAAAAAACCACCTAAGGAAGGAAGGCAAGCCAGTCAACATCTGCTTCCCCACCAAGAAATGGAATGTCCAGCCTTAATGTGAGTAACAGAACACTCGTTGCCAGGGGGCAGTTTGCTCTTTACCCTCCAGCCTCACCAGGCCTGACTGAGGCAACGATATGGGGTGGGGTCCTCCCCCAAGAGACTGACCTTCCACAGGCTGCACTACACTTTCCAGACAGTGATTCATCAAACAAGGCACTATCTATCACAGGTTGCTCAGAGGAAGACACTTGAAAATGGGTCACCAGAGCCAAAGCAGACCAGTCCCCAGCTGACTCATCAGAGAGGCACCCAGGAAAAACCTGGTGCTATGGGCGGGAAACACAAGTGACACAGGGGAGACAGGTTCCTTCCTGCAGCCATTCAGTAAGGCTGCAGCTTTGCCACAGTGGGAATGAAGTACAGAGGAGGAAACCTGGAAGTCCCAGAAGTTAGAGGCAGGGCTACTTCTGCAAAGAGCTGCAAGGAAAAGGCTGGGGTTGAGAGAGCAGCCTCCACCAGTAAGGAAGGTTAGCAGCATTCCTCAGAGCCTCTCTGGGTCACTTCAGCACTTGGCTTTCCATCGCCTGGCAAATGCAAGGTCCTGAGTTGAATCCCAGTGCCAAAAAAAAAAAAAAAAAAATCAAAAGCCATTGGGAAGGGCCCTGGATGTGGGTCAGTGGTAGAGCATTTGGCTGGCATGAGCAAGGCCCTGGGTTTGATCCCTAGTACCAAGAAAGTCCCTCAAACCCAGAACACATCGGTAACATAATTTAACCCCCCCCCACACACACACAGAGGAAAGTTGCAAAGGTAAGATGTTATTTCAAGCAAATTACAGACTCTACCGCTCCCAATGCTAATTCACTTTGGCCAGAAAATGTGGCTGACTTCATGGAAAACTGTGGGAGCAAGCGGCCTCTGGCTCACCAGGAGGAAAGAAGGGGGCACCTCTGAAAGAGCTCAAGGTCATTGCTCCTTGGCTACTTCAAATGCAAACCATTAATAACTAGGGTGGAGGGCCGGGGATTTAGCTCAGTGGTTTTGCCGCCTGCTGCGCAAGCGCAAGGACCTCAGTTCAATCCCCGGTACCAAAAAAACCCAAAAAAACCCAAAACAAATAACTAGGGTGGAGGAACCACGAAGACAATGTTCTTTTCACAATCATCCTCAATGTTTCATTGTTTTTTTTTTTAATGTTTCATTATTTTTAAAAAGCAAAAACTGGGCCCGGGATTTAGCTCAGTGGTTTTGCCCCCCTGCTGCGCAAGCGCAAAAACCCGAGTTCGATCCCCAGTACCAAAAAAAAAAGCAAAAACATTTATAGCAAAGAGACATATCTTACATGGTAACCTGTATTCATTTAATATGCAAAATATAATAGCAAAGGTACCAGTCTATTAAAACTATAAACCTTTTATGTCTGTCTTACTTATTATACACAGCCATAATGCAAGATATTTCTGAAATGTTACATAGTACTATCGTTCAGAGAGAAAGACAGGATGTGCTAGGAGAGACATAGTCAGAAGCTGCCTTGGGAACCCAAATGCCCCCCTAATCTACTGACTTGGGTCTTCCTCACTTTGTGTATGTGTTTGTTTTTTTTGGCACCGGGGATCAAACTCGGGACCTTGCGCTTGCAAGGCAGGCGCCGGAACCACTGAGCTAAATCCCCAGCCCTGGTCTTCCTCACTTTGGATGCTCTGATGCTAGGCTGTGGAGGAGCTGGTGAAAGGCCTCCTCTTGCTTTTACAAACACTCACAGGTGTGTGTGTGTGCCTGCAGTGCTGAGAATGAGGCCCCTCGAGAAACCCCGTATTAATAGACTAGTGTGATCTTGAAAGATGACAAGGACAGCTACCAGTATTGAGGGCATTCAAATATCTTCTGGTTTCTGGTGCTTCTGAGGGTACACTGTACTTGTGTGCGATGTGTGTCTGGCTACCGCCACAGGAGGGGCCGCCATGGCCTTCTGCATGGGGTGAGGTGCAGGTTCTCAGCAGCTACCTTCTCTTCTTAGACCCAAGAGCTTCCCACTAGGCAGCTCCTCTTTAAGGCATAAAGTAATGAATATAAGTTAAAATGACCTAGATGTGCATGAAGTAAAAATAATAAGCAAGACTCTTCACCAGGCCCCCAGAGGCAGCAACTGTTGGCAGCTGTATGCATATGTTTCTAGGCCTTTATGGGCACAGTCCCATAATTGACTGAGTTGCAGTGCTTTCTTAAAAATCAAGTCAACTTTTTTCCAGTTAAAAAAAAAAACACTAGCCAACTGTAAATTACAGTACAGGAAAATACCCTAATTGGAGGTTTATTTGGGGGGGGGGTTACCAGGGATGGAACTCGGGTCCTTGCACTTGCAAAACCACTGAGGTAAATCCCCGGACAATCCTAATTGGAGTTTTTGGTTTTTTGTCTTTTTTTTTGGTACTGGGGATTGAACTCAGGTCCTTGCACTTGCGCAGCAGGCAGCGAAACCACTGAGCTAAATCCCTAGCCCCCTAATTGTGGAGTTTCTACAATTAAAATAAATGCAGCTCTGCTGTAAGTCTGCAGATCCAAGAAATGAAGAATTTTAAGTTTGAGGACAATTTAATTAAACAGATTTCTTGGGTATCTGCTCCTGTTTCAGGAAACACATAGGTGCTCTAACTTGGAAAGCTGTCCACACAGCACAAAGGCTAGCACGCAGCGAGGCTGAGCTGTCCTGTTAAGACACCTAACTGCGAACACTACATTCTCAGAGCATTTCATACCACTTATCAATCTGATAGGTTTTTTAAAAAAACAATTTTTTGTGGTACTGCGGATAAGACTCAGGCCCTCACATATTGTAGGGCAAGCATTCTGACACTGAGCTACACCCCCAGCCCAACAGGCTCCTCTTATTTATTTATTTTTATTTTTTAAATTTTATTTTTGTGTGGGGGATCAAACCTGGGTCCTTGCGCAGCAGGTGGCGAAACCACTGAGCTAAATCCCGGGCCTACTTGAAAAGAAATTTTTACAATTTTATTTTAGTTTATTAGTACATGTGTGTGGTGCATGTTTCTACTCCTTGTGGGATGTTGGCACATGTATGTAACACATCCTAATTTCTGTGTTCATCCCCTTTCCCTGCCCTCCCCCATCTTTGGACCCTCTTCCCTCTGTTGGTACACGAGTGCAGTACATGATGTTCACATTCCTTGAGTGGGGTGGGTACACACACATAACACATCCCGATTCTTTTTTTTCACCCCCTACCCCTCCTCTTCTTCTCTGCTCCATCTCTCGATCCCCTTCCCCTTTGAAAATGATCTATCTCCCTACTTCCTATTATCTATCTTTTATTTTGCTCTTTTACTGTTTTTTTTGTGTGTGGGGGGGTACTGGGGATCGAACTCGGGATCTTCTGATTTCGAGGCAGGTGGCGGCACCACTGAGCTAAATCCCTGGCCCTATTCCGGGTTTTGCATACGAGAAACCATGTGATATTTAAGTTTGTGGGTCTGATTTACTTCACTTAACATTATGATCTTGATCCATTTTTCTACAAATGACTCAAGTTTATCTTTCTTTATGGCAGAGTAGTACTCCACTGTGTGTAAACACCACAGTTTCTCTATCCATTAATCTGTTGATGGACATACAGGCTGATTCTAAGATTTAGCAAACATGAATCATGGTGCTATAAACACAGGCAGTTTTTTTTAACACTGATATTTTTGTGTAACTACATGCCTACAGTCCAGTAGGCTATAAATCTTTTTTAAAAAATGGGTCTGCACTGCATTAGAAATAGCAAAGTATGCTGGGAGTGGTTGCTCACACCTATAATCCCAGCACTCTGGGAGGCTGAGGCACAAGGATCTTAAATTCAAGCCCCAGCTGGGCAACTTAAGACTTACTGAGATCCTGTCTCAAAATAAAAAATAAAAGAGTTGGGATGTAGCTCAGTGCAAAAGCCTTGGGTTCAATCCCTGGTGCCTTGGATAGTGTTGGGGGAAGCGAGAGAAAGCCAAAAGGAGATGTTGTTTACTTTCCCATTATTTGTGGTGCGCCACAGGTTCCCATCCACCCGTATATATGTGCGTATGTATGTATGTATGTATGTATGTATGTATGCATGCATGTATGTATGTATGCATGCATGCATGTATTTATTTTCCCCATTAAGCTTATCGGTACATTTTAGGAATAAAATGCAGTTACATTCATCATTGGGATCTTATACCTTTACATGAGTATCTTGATTCTTATTTTTTTCCCCTTCCCCTGCCCTCCCTTCAGCCCCTCCACCCTTCCCTATTTGCAAAGACTTTGTTTCTATTTTTTCCTTTTCTCATATTTTTTCTTTTCCCTTCTTCCCTTTCCCCTACCCCTACCACTTCACCTGCTCCTTCAGACCTTTTCTTCCTATTACACAATATCGATTATACATTTTTAAAATTACAAATCAAGATCTAGGAGACAATACCACAGATTTTACAGAATTTAAAAGGATATTTCAAAACTCTGTTTTGAAATAAATTTGACAACTTCTAAGAAGTACCTTGGAAGACAAATTAATGAAACTAACTCTGGAGGAAATATAAAA